CCTCCTTCCCAAGATGCCTTTCATCTCTATCACTAGAGGTGGTGGGGAGACATCTTCAGCACTGGGCCCTCCTCACCTCCCCTCAGGGCTATGGCACTCACCTGATGAACCACCTGAAGGAGTATCACATCAAGCACAGCATCCTCTACTTCCTCACCTATGCTGATGAGTACGCCATTGGCTACTTCAAAAAGCAGGTAAGGCCTTCCCCACGTCTACCCACACTGCCTGGGGCCAGGGGTTACTCTGTCTAGCCCCTTGCTGTGGAGGAAGCCAAGTCCCTTTGTCCCTGTCCTACCTGGCATTTGRAGGAAGGCCTTCCTACCTGTCTTCCTTCCTCCTGCTGCTGCCCTAGGGGGGAACAGGGGCCAATGGGGCATGCCAGAATTGCGAGGCTCTTGGGGGTGAGTTGGGAAGGGGTGGCCAAGCTGGAACCTTTCTGGAGCCAAACTGAGCCCTCACAGTGCCTTTGGGAGGTTCAGGAACAAGAGAGGAGACCGGGCACACATTGTCCCTCAGGTGCTCTTGGGGGAGGCAGTGAGAGTTGGGGAGTACTTGCTGATAGATTGGGTCTTACCTGTCCACCCTCCAGGGCTTCTCCAAGGACATCAAGGTGCCCAAGAGCCGCTACCTAGGCTACATCAAGGACTATGAGGGAGCAACACTGATGGAGTGTGAGCTGAACCCCCGGATCCCCTACACGGAGCTGTCCCACATCATCAAGAAGCAGAAAGAGGTGGTGTGCATGCACATCCGTGGGACTTTTCATGGGCAMGCATGGGGTGGGTTGGGCACATGTGTACCTATACCATGTGTAGATACGTGTGAGATGGGGACAGTCCAGGTCTTGGTTCTTGTCCTGCCTCTCAGGGGAAGTTGGGAGGTACTGGATTCGGGGGCAGTACAGCCTGGCTTTTCATATTGGGGCTCTGACCACAGCCATGGGAATGGTGGTGGGTGTCTAGGGCTGGAGTTGGCCCCTCACACTCTTTTTTCCCTTAGATCATCAAGAAGTTGATCGAGCGCAAACAGGCCCAGATCCGCAAGGTCTACCCTGGGCTCAGCTGCTTTAAGGAGGGTGTGAGGCAGATCCCTGTGGAGAGCGTCCCCGGCATTCGTGAGTAGGGTCCTGACTCKGGGTGGGAGGATGTACAGCTGGGGGTATGGACAGGCATTCTTAGGAATGTTCTCTCACACCCTACTTTGCAGGAGAAACAGGCTGGAAGCCATTGGGGAAGGAGAAGGGGTGAGTCTTTTGTGGAGGGAGTGGGTATTGGGGGGTGCACAGAGGGACTCAGAGCCTCAGACTTGGCATCTCCCATCCCAGCAAGGAACTGAAGGACCCTGACCAGCTGTACACAACCCTCAAAAACCTGCTGGCCCAAATCAAGGTAGGAAGACCAGGTTCCCTTCTGGGATCGCTGCACCAGTGGCTGCAACTTCATGATTCAGTATATACTGGGTGGCAGTCACGGGTTGGGCAAGGTAACAGTGGACAGGTCCCCAGCTCACCTCTTCTCTCTAGTCACACCCCAGTGCCTGGCCCTTCATGGAGCCTGTGAAGAAGTCAGAGGCCCCTGACTACTACGAGGTCATTCGCTTCCCCATTGGTGAGGACCCTCCATTTCTTCCCTTCTACTTCTGCCCCCAGATCAGCCCCTGGGGAACAGCCCCAGCCACTGTCCTCAGCCTCTTAAAGGTATGCCCTCTCTCCTGCCATCCAGACCTGAAGACCATGACAGAGCGGCTGCGCAGCCGCTACTACGTGACCCGAAAGCTCTTTGTGGCCGACCTGCAGCGGGTGATCGCCAACTGCCGCGAGTACAACCCCCCCGACAGCGAGTACTGTCGCTGTGCCAGTGCGCTGGAGAAGTTCTTCTACTTCAAGCTTAAGGAAGGAGGACTCATCGACAAGTAGGCCCTGCGTTTGGACTGCAGCTGTGGCCTGCTGTGTCTCCGTCGGATTCTCATCTGATCCCTTGGGCTGCCCTGCCCAGCTCCCTGACTCAGCTGAAGACACTCCAGCCAGGGACCCTCCAGTGCCTGATCCTGCAGGCCTTTCTGCCCTCAGGCACCACCCCAAGCCTGCAGCTCCGCCCCAGCCCTGATTGTGTCTGACCCTGGGAGATGGCTYCTGGGGGCCCCACCCCCAGAGAGKGGCTGGTGGCCAGAAGATGAACTCTGCCCAGCTAATGGCCCCCAGACCTGCTCCCCGCAGAGCTGTGGAGGCATGGAGGCCTGGGCCTGGCCCAGTTGGCTGTTTCCTCAAGGACCAGGACTGCTAATTGTAGCTTCAGAGTGGGCTTCAGAGGTTGGAAGTTCAGCCCCCTCTGGAGGGGCTATGGCTCACCCTGCATTGTTCTGTCAGTCTGTCCCCTGGAAGGGGGGCATGGGGACCATTCATTCCCTGGCGTTAAATCCTTGGAGGGAACAATAAAGCTTTTTTTTTTTTTAAACACCTTTTTTTCTCTCTATTTGTGTGATTGTTTCTTTGGTGTATAATATAAAAGTTTCTAGACTTAGCATGTTTGTTGGGAGTTTCCCTGAGAACTCCCCGGGGCAGCGGCTAGAATTCCCCAGGCCTTTCAGATAAGAAGCCCCTAATTCAATATGGCGTTGGGCAGATTACCAGTGGGCGGATAACAAGTTGTTTTGAAAATTCACTAATTGGTCCTCCTGTCTTCCGCCCGCCCTCGTGAACAGTTGATCTCCATGAATCTTATGCAGGGTGGTGATGACCTGACCTTTACTATGATTGGTATTGGCCCYGGGAGCTTCCTGGTCTAAGATAACTGACTTTTACTTTCTATATAAGCTAGCAGCAGTTCACAGTAAAGCACTTCATCTATGTCACTGCTATCTGTGTGTGCGTTTTGATCTCCAATGAGGAGCCTTGGCCTTTCAATATTGACCTTAGCTCCTCCAATACCCTCTTGCAAACTGTAACCACTCATCCCCAGCCTAGTCCTGTGCTCCACCTGCCTGGCTGAAGCCCCTCTTTTCCCCACTCCAGATTTTTCCTGGTCCACATGCCAGGGACAGCAGAGTTCAGAACACATGATACTGCTGGCTGCAAAATGGCAGAGGGCTGGCACACACCTRTAATCCCAGCAATTCAGGAGGCTGAGGCAGGAGGATCACAAGTTCAAGACCAACCTCAGCAACTTAGTGAGATCCTGTCTCCAGAAAAAAAGAGAAACCCTGTCTCAATAAAAAGGACAGGGATGTGACTCAGTGGTAAAGCATCCCTGGGTTAAATCCCCAGTACGGAACAAAARGGGCAGGGCAGAGGGTATGTAGTGGCACCCCCTTTCTCCACAGAAAAGTCTTAACTGGAAATCTTCACCATGGCTGATTTTAGGACTATCAGCAAAAGAGTCTGCAAAAGAATTCAATGTAAATAAGCTTTCTATTTTTCGGGTTGTCCTGTTTTACTTGGCCACTGTTTTACTGGCCAGGAAGATACCAGCACTCCAGGTGCTGGACACCCCCTTAAAAGTTTTTCCCAAACGTATCCAGTATGGTAGTTTGTAGAAATGTGCAAATAAGACCTCTGGCCTTGAGCTGGGCTTCACAGAGATGTCTAAATTTTTTTTTTAATTAGATGTTGATGGACCTTTATTTTAATTGTTTATTTTTATATGCGGTGCTGAGAATCGAATCCACTGCTTCACACATGCTAGGCAAGTGCTCTACCACTGAGCCACAAACCCAATCCTGAGATGTCTACAATTTTTTTTTTTTTTTTTTTTTTTTTTGTGGTGCTGGGGATTGAACCCAGGGCCTTGTGCATGCAAGGCAAGCATTCTACCAACGGAGCTATGTCCCCAGCCCAGATGTCTACATTTTTAAGATAAGTTACCAATTAGGCTCCATGGTAACAGCTGGCAGAGGAAGAAAAGGGGAGAAGAAGCTCTCCCCTTCTCAGGTGTTGTCATTGATGGGTTAACTTGCCCAAACAGTGAAAGAAAAAGCTGCTTTTATGTGAACTTTTGCAGACTGAACTTCTGAGCCCCTCCCCTTACATTCTGGGTATAAAACTAAAACTACCTGGGGTTCAGGGGATTGATTGATTACAGCAAAAGCTGTGCCCTCTGAACCTGGCTGCAGCCAAATAAAACTGTTTCCTGCCATCTTCGGTGCCTTGMCTCRTCTGTCCCTACAACAGGTAAGTTCACAGGAGTGGGATGGGGATGTGGCTCAGTGGTAGAGCGCTCCCCTAGCATGTGTGAGGCATTGGGTTGGATCCTCAACACCTCATAAAGTAAAATAAAGACATCGTGTCCACCTATAACTAAAAATATACATATAAAAAAGTCGCAGGGGTGGGGCTGGTGATGTGGCTCAAATGGTAGTGCGCTTGCCTGGCATGTGTGCGGCCCGGGTTCGATCCTCAGCACCACATACAAAGATGTTGTGTCCGCCGAAAACTAAAAAAATAAATATTAAAAAATTCTCTCTCTCTCTCTCTCTCAAAAAAAAAAAAAAAGTTAAAAAAAAGTCACAGGAGCAATGAAAACGCCTTCCTGTTAGTAACTTTTTTTTGGGGGGGGGTACCAGGGATTGAACACAAAGGCGCTTAATCACTAAGCCACATTCCCAGCCCCCCCCTTTTTTTTGGTAGTAGGACACAACACATTTATTTTTGTGTGGTGCTGAGAATCAATCCAAATGCCTTACACATGCCAGGCAAGTGCTCTACCACTGAGCCACAACCCCAGCACCCCCAACCCTTTTTATTTTAAAACCTTCTGGCTAAATTGCTTAGAACCTCAATAAATTGCTGAGGCTGGCTTTGAACTCGAGRTCCTCCTGCCTTAGCCTCCAGAGTTGCTGGGATTATAGGCATGRGCTTCCACGCTCAGCTGTCAGTAACTTTTCTATCTCTGCCCCAGGTGCACAGAGTTCTTTCCCCCGAGGTAGGGATTGGGCTGGGCTTTAAATGGTCTGACTCCTCCCCTCAGTTTCAGTTTCTGTTTCTCTGATTCCGAAAGGGGCTTTCCAGGGCTGCCCAGAGAACCAGGCTGGGCTGGGCTGGGATCCCAGGTAGGCTGTGTTACTCTGGCCTCTCCCCTCTTGGCCAGAGCAGCTTCTAGGTGGGTCCTAAGGGTACCTTGCTCCATCTTCCACAAATGGAATAGAGTCCTGTGAGGTTGGGAGCCAGGGAATCTGAGCACCTTGCCATTTCCAGAATGGAGCTGCGACCTTACCAGTGGGAGGTGATCAAGCCCGCCCTGGAGGGCAAGAACATCATCATATGGCTGCCCACTGGCTCGGGGAAGACCCGGGCAGCTGCTTATGTGGCCAAGAGGCATCTAGAGACTGTGGATGGAGCCAAGGTTGTGGTGCTAGTCAACAGGGTAAGTGATCCACCCTCCCTGCAGTGGGGTCTCAGGTGATTTGTGGTCCTCTCYAGAGCTGCTGTGGCCCCTAAGCTCACCTGTTTTTTTCACCCTAGTCCAGGACCCAGCCATGTCATGAGGGTCACCTTTCCTCTCACCCACTCCCCAGGCTGCTGATCCACCTTTCTCTCTCTTTCTCCCCCACACCCAGGTGCATCTGGTAACCCAGCATGCTGAGGAGTTCAGTCGCATGCTAGATGGACGCTGGACCATGACAACCCTGAGTGGGGACATGGGGCCACGAGCTGGCTTTGGCCACATGGCCCGAAGCCATGACCTGGTCATCTGTACAGCTGAGCTGCTACAGATTGCACTGACCAGCCCTGAGGAGGAGGAGCACGTGGAACTCACAGGTAAGGCTGTGGGCATGGGAAAGGGCATACACCTGAGCTGTTCTTGAGTCAGATACCGGGAGTTTTTTTTAGGGGGGTGTAAGTTCGCATTCGCCAAACCCCACCTATACTAGTGGAAACAGACCTGGCTGCGTTGCAGRATCTTGGGCACGTTCCTTTCCCCAGCTGAGCCTTGGTTTACTAATCTGTAAATTGGGAGGTAAATTGGCTGCATGTTGTGAAGCGAAGGCGTTCTCAGATGGGTGGGGGAGCTTCATGAAACCAAGCTTACTGTAGGAAAGGCTGTGCAAACCTAAGTCCCAGCTTTCCCTCTTGTGCCCTCAGCCTTCTCCTTGATTGTGGTGGATGAGTGTCACCACACACGCAAGGATACCATCTACAACATCATCCTCAGCCGGTACCTACAGCATAAGCTGCAGAGGGCGCGGCCCCTACCCCAGGTGCTGGGTCTCACAGCCTCCCCAGGCACTGGTGGGGCCTCCAAGCTCAGCGGGGCCATTGACCACATCCTACAGGTCAGCTTGACCCCTGTGGGGCCCTCCCACCATCATACCCACCAAGGACCTCCTGCCTGCCTGCACCCCATGCCCAGCAGCTCTCCCAGGCTCTCTGTGGTGGGGTCCAGGCCAACTTCCTCACCCAAGGTCCAGCCTCTRATGACTTCTTATGACACTTAGATTAAGCTCACTTAGAAAGTCCCCTGTGCAGATCTAGCCCCTGCCTCTCCAACCTCAGTTCCCACGCTGTCCCCTGCATGCAATCTACAGCTACACTGACTTTTTTTTTTCCCCCTGTATCTTGAACATGTTGTGTTCGGTCTCATCTCCAGACATCTGCACTTAACCATCCTTTTTTGCCAGGAATGGTGATCTCCTTAAACTGACCCCATCTGATTTCTTCTGATTGACCCAGCAACTTCCCCCACACCTATACCTCACCCCCACCCTGTCCTGGAGTTGACCTCTGGGGCACTCTGCCACTGAATCACAGCCCTTTCCATTTATTTATTTATTTTTGGTGGTGCTGGGGATCGAACCTAGGACTTTGTGCATGTGAGGCAAGCACTCTACCAACTGAGCTATATCCCCAGCCCTATTTTCTTTTTATTTTGAGAAAGTCTTGTTAAATTACTGAGGCTGGCCCCAAACTAGTGACTCTTCTGCCTCAGCCTCCCAGGTAGCTAGGATTACAGGTGTGCGCCACCATGCCTGGCCACTGGACACTTTAATGTCCTTCTTCATAGTTTTCCTTGGTCATCCCCGTGCTCTCTATCACATCATCCAGCTTTAGTCTCTTCAGAGCTCATTAATACTGACACACTCTCATTTTAGTATTCTTTTCACTGTTTATTAACCATCTCTCCCATCCCAGCCTAAGTTCCTCTCTGTCCCCAGTGCCTAGAATATTAGCAACGCAGAGAGGGCAAGCAAAACATTTGTGGAAGTGAATCACATGTTGAAGAATGAAACTCCCCATGACCCTGCTTCAGGCTCTCTCCTATCTTCAGCTGGGACCCATCCTGCCTCAAAAGTTMGGCTCCCTGCCCCCATAGAACCTTCCCTTTTCCAGTGAAGCCTTCTCTGTTGCCCCCAGCTCTGTGCTAACTTGGATACATGGCGCATCATGTCACCTGAGAAATACCGCTCCCAGCTGCAAGAGCACAGTCCAAAGACATGCAAGCAGTACGACCTCTGCCACAGGCGCAGGCAGGTATGTGGGGGGGGAGGGGCACGGAGTGGGCATAGGGTCATGTGAGCGGTTAGGGAACCTGGGTTTGAGCATTATTGACTAGACCCTCAATAGCTCTGGGACTTCAGGTCTCTTATGAACCTCCACTTATCCTTTCTGTGCAATGAGGCATATACAGCCCATGGCCACAGAGGTGCGAGCCTCCCGCTGTTTGGATTGGCTCAGATGGCACTGAGGCCAACATCAAAGCCCTACGCAGGCTGTGGGATGCTCTGCAAGCTGTGAAACTGGAACAYTTTGTGATGAGGTTGTATCAAGTTCGTTCTTTCATTAGAGACACTGTCTGGGTCTGCTATGATAGGGCTGGACGAGGACTAGGCATCACTGTGCCCAGACCAGGGGACAAGGGTACGTAGTAGGTGAAAGAGCAGGAGCTGGATCCAGAAACCTGGTCCCAGCCTCCAGCCAGGGCTCCACACTCTAGCCCCGCCCCCGACGCCCCGCTCAGATGAAATCCAGGGGGGATCCCCTAATGGGTGCCCATCCAGTGTGTAAGGGGGTCCCTTCACACACTCGCTCCTCTTGTCAGGACCCATTTGGGGATTTGCTAAAGAAACTCATGGATCAAATCCACGACCACCTGGAGATGCCAGAGTTGAGCCGGGACTTTGGAACGCAGATGTACGAGCAGCAGGTGGTGGAGCTGAGCAAGTCTGGTGAGACCCGCAGCTGGAGGGGAGGGCTAGGTTACTCGATTGGCCGGCTGGGGGCTTGGGGCGGAGCTTAGCCGCAGCCCTGACCCTGCGCCCGCCCTTGCACCGTTTCTCCCCAGCTGCCGAGGCCGGGCTCCAGCAGCGACGGGTGTATGCCCTTCACCTGCGGCGCTACAACGACGCACTGCTCATCCATGACACTGTCCGCGCAGTGGACGCTCTGACCTCTCTGCAGGATTTCTACCACAGGGAACGTGCCACCAAAAMCCAGATCCTKCGCGCTGAGCGCTGGCTGCTGGCACTGTTCGATGGTGAGGCATGGAGATTCAGAACTGGACCAGGGGTCAGAGACCTGCCAGGGCCCAGGTGCCAACACGGGCTGGAAAGGTGCTGGGGGCCCTTCTTTTCTAACCAAAACCCAAGGCCATGGATAGGACAGGTTTATTTCCTCATTTATGAGAATTTACAGAGTTTTTTTTTTTTAATTAAAATTTTGAGACATTTTAAGAACTGGTTAGTTGGGAGTGGACCCGAAATTCTGGGGTGTGTGTTTCCTTTAGGCTGAGAAAGCAAACCATAGYGTCAGAGTGAAATTTAAGGTTGGAAGCCTCAGCACAGTCTGGGGTCAAGAAACCCAAGGTCAAGTCCATCTGGGTAGCAGAGGTCATGGTGAAAACCTCCATGGTGGGACTCCAGCCCTCACTCAACTCTGTAGCTGAGTTGAGGAGGGCTGCTGGCCAGAGGTCTGTAAGCAAAGGACTGGTCTCGAGAGTTGGGCCTGACAGGCACCATTAAGTATGCTTTGGGGGCACATTCCCCTTGGGCATTGAGAAGGAACAAGTGTCCTTCCCTGTAGCCCCCCTATGCTCTGCAGTCCTATCTCTGTGGGCACCCTCTTCCCCAGTCCCCTGTTCCCCAGATCCTCACTCCCCCCTTCCCCAGTTCCTCAGTCCCTCCTTCCCCAGTTCCCCAACCCTCTCTTCCCCTATCCCCCCTTCCCCTACCCCCCTTCCCCAATCCCCTTCTTCTTCCCGGACTTGAGCCCTGTGTCCCTGTTTTGGGGTTTTCTGCAGGTCACAAGGATATGCTGACCCGATTGGCTACTCACGGCCCTAAGAACCCAAAACTAGAGATGCTCGAACAGATTCTGCTGAAGCAGTTCGGGAGTGCTGACAACCCCCGTGGCATCATCTTTACCCGAACCCGCCAGAGTGCGCACTCCCTCCTGCTCTGGCTCCAGCAGCAGCCGGGCCTGCARTCAGTGGACATCAGGGCTCAGATGCTGATTGGAGCTGGGAACAGCAGCCAGACCACCCACATGACCCAGGTGGGGGCTGTGGAGAATGATGCTGGGGYTGCAAGGGTTCCCTAGGGGAGAAGTGGGGCAGGGTCTTCAGCACAGAATAATGGGGGCAGGGTGACCGTCGGGGAGAGGGATCTCGAATATCTCCAGGCAGAGAGCTGCAGCCAACACTGAGATCCCTGGCGCTGARGGTACCCCCAATGTGGGAGTCCCTGGGGCAGGGAGAGGGGTTTAGGGGCATATGGGGAAAGAGGTAGGTGATGTAGTTCCTTAGGGCAGGGGAACGGGAATCTGGGGGTTTCTTGTGGRAAAACAGTGCCTGGAGTTCTGGGGTAGAAGAACAGGGACCTTTAGGGGTTCTTAGGGGGGATAGAGATTGGATGGTCATCTGGAAAGGTAGGCAGGATCCTGGGGCATTGGGATAGAGGTGGGTCTCTAGATTCCTAGGGAAATAGAAGAAGATGGTGAAAGGGCTGTACCCGGAGAGGCTGCTCTGGCAGGTAGCAGGGCCTAACCCCACTAGTCTTTGTTGGCCTAACCCCACTAGTCTTTGTCCTCCTTCCCACAGAGGGACCAGCAAGAAGTGATCCGGAAGTTCCGACTTGGCTCTCTGAACCTTATGGTAGCCACAAGCGTGGCTGAGGAGGGATTGGACATAGCCCAGTGCAATGTGGTTGTGCGTTATGGGCTCCTCACCAATGAAATCTCCATGGTCCAGGTGCTCAAAGCCCTCCCCCTCCACAGCCCTCAGAGGAGCCCCTCATCTTCCTCCCCCTCATCTTCCTCCCCCTCATCTTCCTCCCCCTCATCTTCCTCCCCCTCATCTTCCTCCCCCTCATCTTCCTCCCCCT